ACAGCAGGAACACTTTAAAAATTTGTGTCACCAGAAATTTAAAACCAATAATATTCAAGCATGACTTCTCTAAAAGAAGTCATTGAGATGCAGGAAAAGAAGCATTAGATAGCTGGATTTTAGTTTGTGATTCCCCTGACAAAAAAGGATGGTGAAAGACAGTATATTTGCGTAGTTTGGTTATTCTGCTCAGAATAGACTTCAGCAGCATAGTAATACATCATGTTCCCACTGCAATATAGCAGTATAGCTGTATTTCCCAATACAGCCTTGATTGACTTCAGTTCTCCTTTTCTTTACCTTTCCAATGGCACCATGGCAGTCACCTTAAGTATCTCCAAACAAGCTGTTCTAAAAAGGTACAAAGAGCCCTGGCTTTCTGCAAGGCCAAGGAGCAGCGAGGAAGTCACAGGGATCAGAGCAGCAGGAGAGTGAAGGATAGCACAAAGCAAAAGTAACACAGCAGCAGGAGTAAGTGCAGAGAACAAACTTCCCAGGGTGATGGGCCAGTGGTGGGGCCTTGTCCAAGGAAATCAGAGCATGAGCTAGTGCCATGGATCAAAGCACCGTGGCAGAGCTGTGCCCAGAACTGCCTGGCACAGACACTGAGATGAGGGCAGGCAGCATCCAGAAGGCAGACACTGGAGCTGCAGCCAGGGCACTTTTATATGCAGATCACAGCTGCAGGAGCAGAGTTTGAGGTGAAATCAGGAGTTAAGCATGTGTGACCAAGGATTTTTCTGGTTACAGTTCCCTGTGAAATAGGTGTTGGGGAGGGTTCTATTCAGTATCATTTCAGGGCTTGTGCTGCATTCTTCAGTGTGCTGTGATCTGTGTTCATATTTGTATATGAACCCAGGCCCTGCAGGCCATCTTGCACTTTCTTACTCCTTTGGGAAAAAAAGAGTATGTAATCTAGGAATAAGGCAAGCTGCTTTCTTGGAAGTTCATTACCTTTTAATTATTTTTCCTGACAGATTCAGAAGGCTGCCTCAGCTGCCCGCACTGAGCTAGAAGGACGCAAAGGCACCATCTCCCAGTATTTCACGACCTTACACTGTCCTGTGTGTGATGAACTGACCCAGTATGGGATCTGTAATAAATGCAGAAGCCAGCCACAGCATGTGGCAGTGATTCTCAACCAAGAAATCCGAGAGTTGGAGCGTAAACAAGAGCAGCTGGTCCAGGTACGATTAAAGCATTATCAGATGTCTGTCAGCAAAAGACAGGGGCTGAAATTTCAAAGCAATGCATTACTGAATACTCCAAACAGAAATTGGAAGTATGGTCCGGGTGTTAAATGTGCTGCAGCTTGTTTGCTTTGCCCGTTGCTGTTGAAGGCAGCACAGGAGCTGTTACTCTCCTAGACTTTGTGGAAAGCTAAGGCAAAGGAGGGGATCAGAACAGAAGATGCTTTTCTCATTTTCTTCTGATTTTTTTAAGAGTACCTTATATGGTTTGTAGGTTCCTTTTTTTAATTACTTCAATGACATAGAGCTGTGAGAGTGTAAAAGATTCACTCTTTTTTTATTTTTTTGCATTAAAATAACAGATGATGTTCTAGAAACAAAAATGTTTGGGTCAGAAAATTTATTTATCTATATGTAAAATATCGATGTGGTTTAGCTTGGGGATTTTCTTATTACCTTTCCTCTCAATAGGAATTTTCCAACTGCTTTTCCCCTTGAGCTAGAAGTCAATTAAGAGGGTAGCTGACTGTGCTCATGAATATATTACAGCAAAACACAATGCCTCCCCTTGTGGAAACATATGCATACACTCACCTAATTTTCATACTGTTATATTTTGTAATTAATAAATATTTTAGTTAAAATTTATTTTTAGCTCTAGCACATGAACCATTTTAAAGACTTGTCTGAATGTCAGGGATATAAATGTCCCTAAATCTAAGCATTGATTTGATAGGTTCTCATGGGGTTGCTAAAAATGCACTGTAATTCACTTTATAAATATTTCATTTCTAAGGTGTGGACTTCTTGCTGTTATTTTGTAATATTTGCCCTTATCTGCATTGTGAATGGCAGAAATGAGAAAATGCATGTTCTGCTGTTTTCCTATGGTACTTTGAACCCTTTGCATTGCTCTTGTTCTGAAGTAAAGCAGAACTGGGCAGGCTGGTCCAGCCTCACAGAAGGATCTGTGAGTTTGAGTAGAACATTCTCTTGTCCCTGCAACACACAACAGCTCAGCACAGCCTGGGATCCTGTCCCAAGCAGTGTTGGATGTCTCTGTAAGAGCATCTGTCTTATTTTAATATGAAGGCATATGTATCCTTCACAGCTTAATTTTTTAGCCCTTTGAGATTACAAACTTGCTGAAGCCAGCAGAAAACTGATATAACACTGAGATGTACATTATTTTAAACTGCACTCAAAAATTACATGCTCTAAGTTAAAACCGTAGACTTCTCCCTTCAACACGAACTGAACTTAGGACTCGTCTCAAGCACCATTTAGTTTGGTCCCTTGCATTTAAAACAGCCACAGCCTCTTTCAGAAGAATTAGGATAGATGTAGTTCTGAGATTACAAACCTGGAATCAGCTGTTAAAATCCTGTTCCTTCTGGTGACAATTGCAGGCCAGAGGATTGGTATCCTCTGAGGTGCCACCCGTGGGACTGGGCCAGGAGGGGCTGCCCCTCTCCAGCTGTTGTCAGCCTGCAGGGATTTGGTGCTGATGCTGCCCTGGCATCAGCATGGAACATGGAAAGGAAAAGCAAAGGGATACAATTTTTGTTTGTTTATTGATCAGGCTAGGCAAGTGATAGGATAAACTGTGTAACATATTAATGTGACAAAATACAGGTGTTGGAGGCATATTTCTAAGATTTTGAGAGAAGTGTTGGAGGTGGTAAATGCTGTAAAGGTTCAAAATAAAATAGCAAAGTAGGGGCCTTTTGTTTCCTAAAGGTGTCTACCTTTGGAAAAACTGTGCCTGCTATTTTATTCCACTATTTTTATTATTTTATACATTTTATTTTATTATTTTTCATGTTAAAAGTACTTTCAAGCAGCATTAACAAGTAGTTCCTTGAACAAGGAGAGCTGTGCGACTGCTGTGGCCTGTGTATTTCTGTGTTGGGCTTGATTGACTGTGACTAGATCAAACTCTAATTAAAGCTTATCTTGAAATGAGTAATTTATTTTTAGTCCCTTTTCTCTGCAGAGAATAACTGCAGGACAAGAGTTCTGTCTTTTTTCACTAGGAGACTTTTACAGAGAGTAAGATTATCACAAATAGAACACACTGCCCTGCTTTAACCCATCAACTTGTTTACCTTGTTTTTTCAAGTGCCACCACATGCAAGTAAAACTTCATTAGCAGGATTGAAACCCAAGCTGTAGAATCCTGCTGTTGCTCTCTGCCAAGTTCAGTGGGTGATGCTGCCAGCCCCCCACCAGCAGCCAAGTGAGCTGTCTGGCAGCAGCCCAAGAGGCTGAAGCAGAGAAGGGAGCTGCAGTGGGTCCCTTTGTGCAAAAGGGCTGTGCCTATTCTGCTGATACAGGCTTGAGGATTTTAGTAGTCCCTAGTGGTTTATGCCTTGCTTGTGTCATTTTAAATAATTGTTTTGCTTTTTCTCCTATAATCTAGATATGCAGGAACTGCACAGGCTGCTTCGATCGGCAGATCCAGTGTGTCTCCCTCAACTGCCCAGTACTTTTCAAGCTCTCCAGAGTGAGCAGAGAACTGTCAAAGGCACCCTATCTCCGCCAGCTGCTTGACCAGTTTTAAATGATCTGTGTTACAGGATTCCAGGTGCTATTTTTTTTTTCGTCAGTGTTTACCACACTAAGACTATTGTGCATGGTGCTTTTTCAATTCTCATCTATCTAGTCCAGGATTTCCATTTTAACTGTTGGGTTTATTATCTGGAGAATAAGGAACACTTACCATAGCTAAATTGAAAAAAAAACCCAACCCATTTGTTGATCTATGAATAGCTCACTTTTTAAGATGTAAAAATTTCTTCTTCATGTTTCTAACATGTTTTATAATGCTGATGTTGAAATAGCTCTGTGTAACATCTTGTAAATCCATTTCAAAGTAGAAGTCAAGTTTACTTCCTGGAGGAAGGAGCACTGAAAACCTCTTGAAATGATAAAACCATTTGTGTGTGTTCTTGAACTGTCAGTATCAAGACGTGTTACTTATATATTATCCATTCACTTTATAATTTTGTCTGCGAAATATTTTGTAAATACACTTTTTTACTTTTCAAACAACTGAGTAAAATAATGTGCAATGACTTTTATACAGATAATTTTAAAGTTGGTTGGTATATCTCCTCCTAAGTTTTGCTTGATTCCAAGTAGATTGTTATTTTGATCAGACTGTGCAAACAGTAGTACCATGTGTAGCATTTTGAAACATTATTTTCTAAAAATTGCTGTCTTGCTTTAGCTATTAATGGGGCATTGTGAGGAACTGTGCAAAGACATTTTTGTTACAAACCTGTGGGACTGTTGCAATACTTTAAATATAAAATTTTATTCCATTTTTGCTTGTTTTGTATAGACATTTCTATTGCTTCTAAATATGCTTAAAATATTTTCTTTCCTTACGTACTGTACAGTTAAATCTTATTTGCCACCATCTTGACAAAATGTGTATTTAGAATATTTGTATAACTGTATAAAATGGAAAAGGAATTATGTGGTCAGTGCATTGTTTTCTAAACTGGAAATCATTTTGTTTTAGAAGTTAATAATGGAAACCATATTAAAGTTGAATAAAATGATATGGTAAAAAATGATATGGTTTTTTTTTAATATTTACTCTCAATTTGTTTCCTTCTCTGGCACACACAATAATGTAAAAACAAGACTGTTCAAATCAAAGTTAAATCCAGCTTAAACTTTGGGATCTAAAACATCAGTAGAAGTTCTTGGAGGCCTTCTCCAAACCAGACGAGAAACATTTCCAGTTTTACATTAGTCAGAAAAGGACCAAGTTTTAAATTTAAAAGTCCAGAGATGGTCTGAAAACTAGAAGAAAACTTTATTTACACCAAGGAACCTGAGTGCCTTTTCCAGATAAGAATTTATTACAGTCAAGACACCAGTCAGTCTATGAAATATCACATTACACAGTACAATGTAAAACCCACACCAAGCAGAATAAAAACTATTACATATATAATAGAAAATCCCCAGATTGTGATGCACTTGTATGTAAAATAACTCTTAAAAAACCAAAACATCAAGGCATAAAACTTTACTTGGTCTTGCATTCAAACATTGGTCACGTACAGAATAAAAGTGCAAATGCTAGGATTAAGTGCTTGTAGTACAGTCCAGTACTTGGCAGTGTCTCAGGATAAATAAAGTATAAATGACACTTAGCTGCAAGAGGTTACCTTTCACACTGGAGCAGAGCACTCAAACTATTCCTGGGTTTGTGGACCAAATAGGATTCTTATCAAATTCAGGTATCTAATTCATGGATTAAAATTCCTATCCTCAACAGAGGAATGGCTTTTCTAGCATAAGCAGGGCAATAGTAATGTAATACAGCCAAGTAATTTCAACCCCCAACATGTAAGTTCTTGAGCTTTCTGGACAACCTGTAACTTAAAATAGATCTGCATTGTAAATAGATCCCCACTTCAGCTGTATATGCCAGGAAGCAATTTGCTTTGAAAGGAAATATAAACATTTGAAAACTGATATTCATTGTCTGAAAACAAGCCTTGAAGAACACCAAAATCCAAGAGCAGGGAGCTAAGCCTTGGCCAACCTAGAACTGGTATGAGCTGGACTCATCCTTGGAAATGTACTAGATCTTGTTTTAAACTTAAATTGCTTCAAGCATTTCATTTTCAGTCAAGGGCAGCTCCTGCTATTAAAAGCAAGATGGTCTGTCCATCTATCCCAGTTTAAGTTTAAGACCAGAACTAAAGCAACTGAAGGCTCCAAGTCCTCATTAAGATGACTCTAAATTTAGGCAGGCCTGGAAAGTGACTCTGCATAGATAATTCTTCAGCTTCCACTGTCATACAGCCACTGCTTTCTGGATCCTTTATTTGTGGAAAAGGCTGCTCTTACCTTGGCATTCCAGCCTGTTGCTCCATTCCTACTACACAGGAAATGTAAAAAGCAGGCCTCTTGATTTTTAAGGAGAAAATGAGTATGAATTGAAGTTATTCACACAGGAGTTAATACAGGCAGTAAAAAAAATTAAATATTTGTTTTGTGCAACATTTTTATATTTGCTGTGACAATGCTGGTCAGAAACACAAATAAATGTCTGTATATATGCAGTAGATAAGCTTCTAAGAGGTTACAGCATATTTCCCAATGCAGCTTTGATATAATTTTCTGTGGTTTTTTAGTACTTGATTATGCAAATGATACAAAGTATACTATCCATGTAAACTATCCCTGAGAACAGTCTTGTATGTAGGACATTCCGATCTGGAATTTCATCAAAACTTAGCATATGAATTGGGGGAGTTTAGAATCTTCCTGGTTGCCCAGTATCTTTCTTTAAATAATTTTCTTCTGGCACCATGATCTTGGGTATGGGGAAACTTTCCTATAGCAACATCAACCCAGGTGAAGGCAGGGGGATGGCAGCTCCAGCAGGGAGCTGCCACAGAACAGTTTCCATCCTTTCACTGTGCGTCCTGCACCTTCTCCCTCCCTCCACCAGTGGGATTTGTCCTCACCATCAGCTGACAACCCCTGCCTCCCACACACATGGAGCAGCGTGCAGGAGGACCATTCCTGTAAGCAAACTGAACCCTTGTGCCACAAGTGACACAAGGCTTCATTCTAAAGTGCAGGTTCATGCAGTGCACTGGGAAAAGATGCCACAGAAGGAATCCATCAAAAACACAGTGGCATTTAAGTGCCAGCAGCAGAAGGAGAGGGAGGCTCTGCAACATGGCAAGATATTAACAAAAATACTTTCATTACAAGTTGATTCTGGCTTCTTACTAACTTCTCAGAAGAAAAGAAAAAGCCATTCATGCCTAGGTTGCATACTTGTAGGACAAGAGAGAAAACAAAAGCAGACGTGGAAATCCAGGGAGCATCTAACATGGCACTGTGCTGTTACACCTAGAGCCCTTTTTTTATTAAATGAAACCTCCTAGCAAGAAAAATACTAATAAAAATGCAAAGTTAAAGACCCCAAACAAGAGTACATTCTTATCACACAGTCTTAAAAAATACTTAACTGATTTGGAGTTCCAAGCTGACAAATGGGAAGATTACTGTTCAGAGACAGATTTTGCCATTTGCTGCTACTTTTTTTTTTCCCCCCCCTTTTTTTTTTTTTTTTTTCCCTCTTACTGGGAGGGCTCCCTGGCATGGCTGCACCGCCTCAGGGCTTCCTGCTTAGCAGCAATGAACCTTCACATACAACCACTACTTCTCCACTAGGGAGAAGTCCATTATGGAGAGTCCATCTCCATGTCATCCCACAAAGAAAAAACCCAAATGTCACCAATCCAACTGGCCAGGAGCAAGTAGCCAGAGAAAGAATTGTCTCATTGATAATTCCTCTCCTTCTCAAATCTTCATTGTAACACATTGCCCTGTTAAGTCTTGGCACAGGAAACCTTACTACTGGTAACAAATGTCTCTTCTCTCATGAAACCATTTTGTGACAAAGCATCTCAGACCCGCACCTTTCACCCACCTCAAAAAACTGAGTAGTCTGAGTAGTCCCCTTCTTTCCCAGTTATTACAGTATCTCTTCCTTGGATGCATGCCTCATATTTTAGAGAACATCTCATACATTTTAACAGTTTTGGCATAGCCAAACATTTATCATGTTGCCCCTTTCACATCACTGACAACCTTCCAATCCAAGACATATATCCCTGCAGGCTGAAAATGAAAGAGGAGAAAGAATTGGGAAAATCAACATGCTGAGCTCTGCACCACTACGAAAGGATACCTGAACCACTTGACAATAGCTACAATTCAACTGCATTTCCATTTTAAAAAAAGCTTTGACTATTCACTCTTCTCCCAGTCAACACTCCCATTTTGTTTCCCAGGGGAGCCATCAGCAATCACTGGAGAATTGCCCAATGCATCATCCAGATGAGGCTGGAGAGAGATTTCAGCTGGAGAATCCCCTGGTATCCTACAGGAGGTGTCTGTCAGAGAGTTTTTTTGCTTGTCATTAATTTCTATTACTTCAAAGTCTGCATCATTCCGCTCTCTCACATGCTCCTCCTCCTCCTCGTCCTCAGTAAGCCTCGAGTTCGACAACAAAGTTTTCCGGGTCTCCCTGTCACTCACTTCTTGCAAGTCCCACTGCTGGGGCCAGTTGGCCAGTTTGTACATGGCAGGGAAGAGCAGGACTGTCACTATGGAAATGACAAAGACAGTGTACATAACGACAGGAACGTGGTGGTATCTGCCTTGGAGATATCCCACCGCGACAGGAATGCACATTTCGCCCAGCGCCGCACCCACCACAAACAGAGACGCCGTTTTTCCTTCCACAGCCGTGTACTGCTCTATCCAGGCAATGCCGCTGGGGAAGATGGTGGCCATGGATGCTCCGTACACGGCAGTTCCCACCCACAGCGCGGCTCGGTAATGCGCGAAGAAGGCCAGGGCTGTCGAGGAGGCAGCAGAGCACAGGAGGCTCACCACGATCATGGTGTCAGGGGACAGTAAAGCAGCACCGAATATTGCCGCTCCTCTGCACACGGCAAACATGCCCCAGAAGATAGAATTCAAAGCAGCCGCTTGACTTTCCGTCATCTCGGTAAAGACCATTGCATAAGTAAATACGTAGGAGCCATAAGTGACCTCAGCTCCCACATAGAAAAAGAAGAATACAAACAGGAGACCAACTATAGGCCAGTGGTATTTGGCAAGTCTGTCCTGCACAGGAGCCTTTGCTTTGTCTCTAGCTGAGCTGCTCTTTGAATACAAAACAAAAAAGAAGAAGGAAACAAAGAGAATATAGGTCCCTATGAAAATATAGGACCACAAAAAGCCTTCATTGTGATGGTCATTCAGTGCTGGTGTAGTTGATGCAGCTGACGCTGTCGGCACCGACTTGAGGACAGACTGGTTTGTCTTTTCAGCCCCTGCAAGTTCTTCAGGTTCAGAACTCCTCGAGTCCATTTGAGCCACGATAGGAGCCAGAAATGCACCAACAGCAAAACTGAAGTGCAAAGCCTGCAAGTGTGGCCCAGCCTCTGATCCCCAGGTATACAGTGCCAGTACATTGCCACCTGCAGATCAGAGAGAAAAAGATTCATTTTAGTCCGAGACCAGACATCATTAAAAAAAAAAAACATTAAAAAACCCACATAACCTATATTACTAATTCAGTGTACAATAATGCCAGGTTTAGCAAATACAATGTGTAAAACAGAAATTAACTGAAACTCTGCCTTAAATCCATGTGATTACTTGAGCTTTAGCAGGATATTCAGAGCAGTCAGTCAAAACAAAGAGTCAGACAGTGGCTTTATCCAGCAGCAATGGACAGACATAACTGTACCAGGGGAGGTTTAGATGGGGTGTTAGGAAAAACTTTTTCATGGGAAAGGGTTGCTAAGCATTAGAAGAGGATGTCCAGGGAAGCAGTTAAGTCACCATCCCTGGAGGTATTTAAAAGACATGTGGATGTGGCATTAGGGACATGGTTTAGGGATGGACTCAGCAGTGCTGGGTTAAGGGCTGGGCCCGATTACCTTAAGGGTATTTTCCCACTTAGGGACCCTATGATTTTATGGTTCTAATTACCCTACTTGACAATTTGCAGCATTTTGCAGCCTTTTTTAAAAAAGGAAATTTAACTGCTTCTCATTTCTCTAAAGCAACAATTTATCAAAAGCAACAATGCCCAATGCTAAGAATCAGAGGAACAAAAACAACATTTAAAACTCATTTAACAACATCCCAGGAAAAATAACAATTCACTTGCTACTGATGTGCTGGGTCCACCCCACTGTGATCAAATAACTTTCCAGAAACAGAAAGGTTTACATCAATACCACTGTAAACACCAAACTACAACACCACTAGATCAACAATAATGGTAGAAAGTAAGATCTCGGAGAGGTGTTTTGAAGTAGTTCTTCAGAAGAATGCAGGAAAACAAACAGTAATCAAATTCCTGTGCTGCAGTACAGCAGCCCTTATCATTCAGCACTCTTCCAAATCAATTCAGCTTTGCTTTACTGCCTTGCTATGAGTTTCTTCTGCTACTCCTGCTCAGCATGGGAAGTCTCCCTGGCTCTGAGGTCTGATCCAAGCAGTACACTCACTGAAGGTATTTTTACCATTGGCTGACAAGATTTTTCCCATACAAAGAATTTTTAAACCAGGTATAACAATCTTACCGGAGGCACCAAATACAGCTCTGCACTCCGTTTATTTAACATGACCTGTACTGCGCAAAACCGTCTCTTCACTACAGGATCCTGTGCCGTGCTCTTTTTACATCTTAGCAGAGCTCCCTCAAACCCTACAGAATTAAGGCAGACATTTCACATGTGCAGCCAGGCCACCCTAGCCAGGCCCTGGCTGGGATGCTTCCAGAGCTGTTTGATGGCTAAGCTAACATGAGTCAGCTCTTTCTCAGCAATAACCCTGCCCTGAAGGTGATCAAATAGTACTCCAGTAGTACCTTGCTGGTTAGTAAGCATCCCCAGGCTCCTGCAGGAGGGCAGCAGAGTCAGCACACACTGCCGGGACGTCGCTGGAGAGGTGCCAGGAGTGGCTGCCTGGTGTTGCTTCACCACCACGTGCTACAGCAATGCCAGAACACTCTGCTAACTGAGGCACTTTTGGGCATTTCCTCATCTCCACGTGCAAGTATGCCAGCATTTCCTAGGCATCTCTAAGCACCCTTTGCCATGGCCTTGCCTCCTGGTGCAAACTGCCTGCTAAAGCCAGTCCTCCCTAAGCCACCCTGTCTAAGCCGTGCCTGGGACTCGTTCTTCATAGCTCCGGTGTAAGTGACCTTTCTGACCACACCTACACTTGCTCTGCAACTTCACCAATATATCTCAGGATCATAGAATCATTTAGGATGGAAAATATCCCTGAGATCATCTTCCTCCAATAACAAACCTCTGCTAAGAAACTGGGTTTGAACAGCTTTCCAGCAAAAGTGCTGGATTTGGGGATTTTTGGCCAGGCCATTTGCAGTATGCACATGCCACAGGCTTAGAATCTAAGAGACAGAACAAATTTGTATTCCCAGCCACCTAAGCATGGCTGGCCAAAGGTGGAAAACATCCCTTAATCCAGGGAGATGGGCACCATGGTGCTGTGAACTCCCAGCTATGCTGAGCCAGCTGCAGGTGGGCAACTCTGCCAACAGCAGTGTAAGACTCAAACACCAAGGCTTTGCTCAGCACTAGCTTAGGCCCAGCTAATGCTAATGAACTATATCCTGACCAGCTTCATGTAATGAGCAATTTAAAACAAAACATTGCTTAAAGAGCACAGGGCACTTTATTTATGCCTGTAATGGCCCACTGAACTGCAAATTCATCTTCTCCAGGAAGCAAGAGATACCCCACTCCCAAACCCCTAAAGGAAGGCCTGTCACACATAAGCAAACACTGGAAGCCTCAGGACCAGATTAATCCAAGAACCACAGCCAGGTAAAACAGCTCCCCTCTTTTAATTCAAGATGTATCACAAGAAAAAGCAGCAACTGCTTTGGTATGCTTGAAGTTTCCAACTCTTTTGCTGAAAGAACTGTCAGAGCACAGGGTCCCCTACCTGTGTCCAGAATTCCAATGGAACCTCCAATGACTGACATCAAGATTGTCAATAGCAGGGATTCCTTGCACCAGGGTATCGCATAAAGACCAGACATTGTTCCAAGCATGGATAAGGCTGGAAAGGTTAAAAAACAGAACAAAAAACTCATATACTACAGTTTCCAATTAAATAACACAGAAGAACAAGAAATACAATTAAATTAATGAATATTAAAGTTACAGAAAATCCTAACAAGTGATGCAATATAAATACCTCAATCAGTGGTTAACAGTAGCAGCTAGAAAGTTCAACAAATCATTTTTTTAGTTTAAAAAAAAAGGAATTTCATCAGGACATAAGCCCTGCATGACAAACTTCTTTGGCTAAAGCAAAGAGACACGAAGAAGTGTCCTCCTGCTAGGACACTAAGAAGTCTTCTGCAAAGTTCTGATTTAGAAATGTGACTTCAGTGTGAAACCAGCAAAACATGGGTTTGAACAGCGTCAAGCCTGTTCTCTGAGAACTGCACTACATTTAATTTGGCTCCATTTTTAAAAGAACCCAACTAAGCTCTTAAAAATCCTATAAAGTAATTTTACCTTGTCCACTAAGTGATCTTCATATAAAGATGCTGACTTCTATTTATATTTTGTTCTCACATGAGAGATGTATTCAAAGGGATTTCTGGAGTTTTAGACAGAACTACAAAATTTCTCATAAATAAATTTAGCAGCACGTCATTAACTGTATTTGTTTTGCCATTATTGGCTACACTTACAACACACCATTTCAAAAAATATTTTTAGCAGATGGAAATTGCTTTTATTACCATTTGGGAGGAAGTTCAGCAGTTCAATTCTATGCTTATAATTGCCTCCATAATAAAACAACCTGCAATTAATATCTTGAACAGACAGTATTAGGTTCTTAAAAATCTTGTACCAGTTCAGCTGTCTCTATTATTTTTTAAATCAATAAATGATCATAGATGCAGCAGATACTTAAAACATCAATGGGGCCCAATATATTTAAGAATTTAGATTGATTAAAAAAAAAAAACAGCAACAATGTCCAGAACCTTAAAGACCTAGCAAGATACTCGCAATACATGCCTCAAAACATTTTTGAAGGTGGTGTGCATGCTGAGGTGCATGAAGAAAACACTAGAGATTGGGAATACTAAGTGCAGCTCCTCAGGTGCCACTCTCAAACCTGAAAAGTAACTTCTCAGCAAGGGCTCAGCTGTCCACTTCAGCTCTATGCCTGCTCTGCATCTGCACTTAAAAATTTCCTTGATAAAAACAATGATGTTTTCAATTTTTCCTTATATAGAATTCTTGTCTGTAGCAGCATTCCAGCAGTTGAAAGATGGGAGGCAAAACTACACAAGCCAAAATCTCTTACAGGCAGCACTCAGATGATAAAAATGAGAACAGGTTCGGTACTTCAAATTGTGGTCTTGCCATTAGCATTACCAAACTGGAAAGGATTAGGAGATCCATCATTTCCCAAGTATTGTTAACAGACAACATTTCTATAGGTGTGTGCACTGATTCCATTACAGAAGGCAAAGTCTGACTTGGCCAGGTGCACAAAGAGGAGGTTAAAGGAAATCCACTCCACAACTGCACTAGCAATGGAAAAAGGGATCTTATCTGAGTGACCATATGATTACAGCACGGTCCTTATGGGAGGCACAGTTCCCTGAACTAAGGAGAAGAATACACCCTGGTACACATTTTAGTCCCTAACTTGGAGCACAAAGGCACTTGAAAGCAAAAAAGACAGGGCTTCTACTATTTTTGGTGTGTTCTGAGAATCTCTGTGGGAATGAGACACTCACACAACTCTAAAAAGGAGCCTCTCCTTTCTGGATGTTGAGTGTGGCTCCTGGATGGCTGAGTAGCATCGCTCTGCCTGGACAGAGCTGGTCTTGTGCTCCTACAGGAGCAAGTTTCCACATATCCAGAAAACTGTAAAAATCATCAACTGTGGTTCCTACAGTTTAAATGTTTCCACAATTACAGACAGTAATTAATGTTTCCCACTGTAAGTAAGTTAAAATTTGGCTACGGCCCTCCAGTCAAAAGCCACAGACTTTTGTCCAGTACACGAAAATGATCGTGAATGATGAGTGTTAAGTAAGGGAAGGGGAAGCTCCTCACATAGAAATGCGCCTCAGCGAGACTGCTGGAGGTTTCTGCTGCACACGGCAGCCGAAAGACAGCTTCGTGTTCCACGTGTTGTCCAGCGTCGCTAAGAAGCCTGTTATGTTCCTAGAGCACCTACACTGTGCACATCACTTGATGCAAACTCAAAGAAATGCAGTTGTTCTCTTCAGTGGGAACCACTGGTCAATCCATGCGGATTTTGTCCGCTCGATCCCAGTTCCCGCTGTGGGCGTGCCCGGCGGGCCCGGGCTCTGGGCAGCGATGCTGCAGTGTCCGGCACACGCGGGCCAGCGGCACCCCCACCGCGGCCATCGGGGGGGAACAGCACCACATCCCACGGACCCGCCCGTTCCCGGGGCTCGGACCGCCCCGCAAAAGGCGGCGCATCTCCCTCGGGGCTGCGCTCGCTGCGGAGAAGCACGAGTGGCCCCGACAGTGTCCGAGAGGGCGATGCCGCCGTCCGGCGGGGCAGCACTCACCGAGCAGCAGAGAGGCGTTCATGCAGTCGAGGAGCACCCCGCCGACCACCGACCCGCCCAGGGAGCCCAGGGACCGGCCCACGAAGATGTAGTAGATGTCGCTGACGTTCTTGCCGACATTGGCGGCCAGGGTGGGGAAGGTGGGACCCAGCACCGCGATGCTCAACCCCTGCAGGGGAGAGTGCGGGGTCACCTCGCCCGTCCCGCGGAAGCGTCCGCACCGGCCCCGCAGCCCCGGGGCCGCCCTCGCTCGCTCATTCACTCACCAGCCCCAGGAAGGAGGCGCAGAGCGTCCCGGAGATGCACCAGCGCAGCGCCGGCCCGGCCGCGCAGCGCCCGCAGCGCCGCCCGCCGCCGGCCGCCCCCGCCCCCGCCTCCTCCGCTTGGATGAAGGGAACGCGCAGCTCCCGGTCGGCCGCGGCCATCGCTCCCGCCGCCGGCTCCGGGGGCCGCTCCGGGCCCGAGCAGCGCCGCCCCGCCCCGCGCACGGCGCCGGCAGCGGCGGGAGGAGCAGCGGGAAGAGGAGCGGGATCAGAGCCGGGGGGCGACGCCGCCGCTTCCTCCTCCGCCGGGGGCTCCTCCTGGGAGCGGGGCTCCCCGCTGGGGAGCGACATTCCCGGGGCAGCTGACACGCCACAGCGCTGCGAGGCTGTGCCACAGTGCCCGAGGTAGTGCCCTTACAAAGCAGTATTTATTTTTATCTCTGTTATCACTCAAACTGCACTCGACCTTTCAGTCAACAGATCATAAACGGTCTTTGCCTCCCACAAGGACTGTGTTATGGCACGGTGATAAAGCTTCTCAAGAGAGAGAGCTGCTGAGTCTTCTGAGGACAGGTATGAACACAGGCCTAGTATTAAAAGTTTTAAGCATGAAAACGACATAAATTCTTACCACTCACGTGGAGCAGCTCACAGACTGTGCAACAGGTCTCAGTGGGTGCTCCCTGTCTGGCACTGAGCTGATGTTCCCTGTAAGAAAGGCCCTGAATTTCACCGTATTTGGTAAGTTTAACAAAGAACTCAAAAGATAATTCCGAACCGCGCTGCTTTGTTTTGCGAGTTGTTTCTAACAAGAAGATACTGGGATACAGCGGTGCACGGACAGGGAACAACGCATTCCCTTTCTCCTAGCACTGGCAAGCATGTTCAAGTCCCTTCCTCTTCAGGGTAGCCTGGGTGCGTTGAGGCATTAAAAGAGTGCCTGCTTGCTACAAGTAATACTGACAGATATTATTTAAACCTGATCTATCCCACATTCCTACCTTTGGAGGAGTGCAGTCTGTACCATGAGGTATCTGCAGAAAACTGCTGAGCTTCTGTTCATACGTCCAGCAGTAGAGACAATTCCAGACAAAATAATTTCAACTGTAATAGTAGTCACACACAGGTCAAACCATATTTCTACATGTCAGTATTTTGTCTTGTTTGAAATGCCCAGGCTTCTCACTGTTGTTTTATACACTTACAAAGAAGCTTTCTACATTGAGAGTGTAGATGTGGCAACAGCACCCAGGCACTTTATAAAGGTTTTGGGCATCTTTTTAAAATTTTAATTTGAGCTACAAGCAGTCTAGGGAATAACCCCAGGTGAAAAGGGAGTATTTAACCCATATCATCAGATATATTTATTTAAAAAATAAATATTTGGCTCTACTACAAAGGAAAGGTGAATTAATTTCTGAGACTTACTGAAGCTGCCAATGAGGAAACACTTCATGCTTCATGAAGTGAAAGTCAAGGGAAGGTAAGGATAGTCAAGGTAAGTCAAAAGGAAATTGGTAGCAGGCCAGTAAATGATTAAAGGTCCCACTGACTTACACTGGCAGTTCATGAAGCAAAATCAAAATTATTTTAAAACACCACTCAAGCTCTTGTAACAATTTCCCTCCATCCCTCATTTTTCCTTCTGCCTTTTTTGAATGCAACTGCTTCTGCAAGTTTGATATTAAGCCCCAGAATAGAAAATAGAGAATGTAATTTTTTCACAAACAAAGCACCTCAGTAGCTTAGGTTTTTAAATCATTAGTCTTATAATGGGTTGTCAGTGCAATTAGAATGAAATGGGTTGCACCATATACTAACGTAGGATCAAATGTAGTGGGGACATTTCAGTCAGACCACAGTGGCAATAAAAGCTGTAAAGACTTTTTGTATAAAATTCTTCACACTAGATTCAATAATTATCAGAGTACAACAAAATTATATTTCAAAATGACAATTTTTACACAAGTGTCCTAGGGTGACGTTATGGTGCTTGTATCCCCAATCGTGTATTCTGTTTCTGTTTAATATTATGTTCTGTGCTTTCAGAACTGACTCTGAAAGTGAAGCTTTGTTTTGCCTTGTTATCAGCTGGCTCACCTCCCCCCATGGTCTGCTGTCTAGAAGAGGCCAGTGCTGGCTGGCTTGGCTTGCTTGCTCGCTCATGCTCCTGCTTCTGCCTTTGCTTGTTAGTTTAGCTAAGCAGTCCAAATTTTTTCCCCTGGACCAGGTTTGTTTTTTTTTTTCCCTTTTCCTGAGTATCATTCCAACCTGCTCCAGACTGGGACCTGGGAAACACCGAGGAACACCGAGAGCCTGCGCTCTGTGATCTGCAGCAGCCGTCCCCAGTGCCGGAGAGCAATCCCCGGCATCCAGACCCGGGCGACCACTCCCAGGAAAGACTTTCTGGATTTGTTCATCTCTTCAGAGTGGTGAAAGAGTTTTGTTGTCATCTGGTATTGTTAATTTTTTTTTTTTTGGTGCTGGGGAGTGCTTTGTTCATTAAATAAACAGGTTCTTTTCCACTTCTCTCAGAGGAAATTCTTCCCGAACCAGGCGGGGGGGAAGGGCCCTGGGAGTTTGTTTTCTGGGGGCTCCTTCCAGAGGTTTTTCTCCCAAATTTGCCCTAAACTAGGACAAAGAATAAGACTAAAAATTATGCATGCAGTAACAAATGGGGCACTTATGAACTACCATCTTTATTCTGAATAACTTGAGACTGATCACAGTTACTTTAGCACCACAAAAAAACATTAAACATTCATTCTTACCCTTCTAACAAAGCAGAACTTGAAAGACTGGAGTTAAGGCTAGCAAAATGTGCACCCTTTAATATCAAAAACAACATACAAAATATGATGTCTATAAAGATACTTAAACATGTCAGTGTTGTCAATATTAGCAAACATTTTAGTGTAACATCACTCTACTCTTAGCATATGCACTTCCAAAACATCATAATTGTTGACACAAGATATATATAGACTAGAAAGCATAATGCACATATGCCAAAGCTTACATGACTAGAAACTCACTGGCTGGCTGGAACTCCGCTGGTGCTCTGCTTGTCAACAGGGAGGCATGCAAACAAAGGGATCACTTTTTCCTCAGCCATCTCTCACATTTCAGAACTATACCTCCTCTAGTGAGAAGCAGACTGTTTGTGCATGTCCTGGTGTCATGGTTTGACACTGGTACAATGCCACGGCCCCTATGAATATGCAACCTCTCAATTGAATGCTGTGAAATGCGATCAATAACAGAGCACAGCAGGCCCAAGCTTAATAACAAAGGAGAAACTTTATTAAACTACTACTACTATAAGAGGGGAAAAAAAAAAAGGAAAAAAAACCCCACTAAAACCAAAATGAAAACCTTCCAAAACATTCCTCCTTCCCCCCCCCCCCCCCAATTCCAACAAACCACAATGAGACATAACTTGGACCCCCAATCAGGTTTCCACCCTTCAGATAATCAATACTCAGTCCATCAAGGGAGAGAGGAGTCTCTCCTGTGCCACAGACCCCCCCAAGAAACACAGCTGCCACTTGTGTTTCCATGTCACACATGGCACCGCCCGGAGAAGAATTTGCCATGGTGACAACTCTCCTTTCCATGCACAGTGCTCTCACCACAGTACATGGATGGCTCTTAGGATTTTTCTTTTCAAGGATGTTTTGCCAAGAGGAAAAAAACAACAGTTCAGTTTTTTCATTTTTTGGGACCGCAGTCCCCCCCATTTTCCCCCGGGGTCGAGGGTCTCAGGAACAGAGATCATCTTCTCTTCTTCTGCTCTGAAGACAGGGGGCACCACCACAAACCTCCCTAACTTCTCTCTGTTTGCTCCACTTCTGTCTTTTCCCAGCTGAAGCAGGTCTCTTTGGCTCACCGGCATCCTCCTAAAATGCAGTCTCTCTTGGAGGAGAAAATCAGTTCAGTCTATGGCTAACAAGAAAAGTCCAGCCAAAAGCCACTCCATCATCTTCCCCGCCCCCCCCCCCCCCCCGCCCCCAATATCTTCTTTTCCTAACATCCCAGGTCCCAGGCTGTCTCTCTTCCTTTCTTTCAAGCCGAGGAGGAGTAATATTTTCACAAAGCTTTCATTTCTCAAGGAAGGGTTCACCTGGGGGAACGCAGACACCCCAGATTTCTCCACCCTTCCAACTGCAGGGGGCCAGTCTGATTCCAATCCCTCCACCCTTGGGCCTACCCCTCAAGCTGGGCTGCATGGGTCCCCTCCCCGACCCAGCCATGGGCCAGGCAGGGGAGAGTCTGCACTGCACCCTGACCAGAACCAAAGAGAGTGAGTTCTCCTGGGAATTCTGCTTTTAACCCCTCTGTGTCCTCAGAGGCATGTCCAGCCTTCAGTTGGTCATCCCAAGTGCCAATATCCAACCCTGACCCCTGACTGGATTGACTCTTCCTTCCGAGAAAACTCCATTCCGTGTCAAACCACGACACCTGGTCAAAATACATTGTATTTATAGATACACACACTCTCTTAACAGCAGAGGGTCCTTTCTGACTTGTGTAACACTTCCAGCTCTCCAAAGGGGAATCCTGGCCCCAGACCAGGCATCGCCCCTGCCCAGAGGGCACATGGCTGAGCTGCTGTGCAAGCAGCGAGCCAGGACCTGCCCTGTGCCAGCACAAGGAGAGCCCGCTGTGCCAGCCAGCCCCAGCGGATGGCCTGAAGGATTGTAGCACTGATTCCCAACCTGACACAGACCCGCTGGGGCTGCAAGAAAGCACCTCCTGTCCCTTTGGCATGTACTACCCGAGGCAAGGAACTGAGCAGGGCGCTTCTGCTTTACAATGGCAGCGTCCTTTTTTTACACCATGAGCCTGGGATCAAAGCACTCATCTGGTACCTGCGAGAGCTGCCTCCTCTCCCAAGGGTGATGCAGCCTCACACCTCCCACCGCTCCCAAACCTGCCTGCTCTGCCAGGCTGAGCCTGCTCAAAGGTTTCATCCAGGAAAGGCTGGAAAGCAGCACCCACTTCCAATGTGATGGGCATCAGCTTGACAAGCCAATATCTCTGCTGGGAAGGGGGAAGGTATGTGCCCACAGATAGTGCATGAAGGGCCAAAGGAGAACAATGTCAGTTGTCTACCTCAGTTGATGCCAAATACACCCTGAAGAAAGGCCGCAGAACAGCTACAGCATCTTTGGCTCATGGGGGCAATTTTCAGGGACAATAAATTGTCACTGGAAATAAAATCAGAAAAATAATTTAAATGCTAATTCTGAACAGACAAAGGCTTGGATGCAAGAAATTCTAACTACATTAAAATTTGAAATCTTGGTCTGAGATGTGTACAAGTCTTCAAAAGTAGCCAGGACAAATCCAACAATATTTTACTAGTTACACATTGGATCCTGTTGCATAGCTGAGATGTAATTAAGAATCCAAAGGGTTTCCATTATTTCAGGCTCTTTGCTGAACACTTTTCTTAAGATTAAAAGAATCTCATACCTA